TTACAAACTAGGAAAGTAGCCCGCGCATACGCGCAGACACCTTATTTAATGTTGCTTTAGTTTTTATTACAAATGTTAGGATGATATTGTTGAAATATTTTTTTGAGTCCATTTTAAACATATTTTGGTTAATAATAGGTTTGGACATTGGTTATGTTTTTCTTCTGATTATCCTTGCAACGTATAAACTCTATACTAAAATTGTTTGAAACTGTACAACCAAGAAAAAATTGTGTCACAATGATGGAGTTGGTTCATATATATTTGTACTATATGTGATTCGTTTTTAGAATTTAGCATTTCAGTTTCCAAAATTTTACTAACATTTTTTATTGTGTGCTATAGATGACTTTATGGATTTATTATATATTAATGAAATTATTTTTCGTTAAAACGTAGCTAATAGACTACTTTATCTAATTAAAGATAGACTTATATTGCTTATACTCCCTTCGTCACATAATTTCGATGAGTCAAATTTTATCCCAAAACAAAAGAGGAATTTATATGTAACCGGGACAAAGTCATTTTTTTAAAGAATACTACCAAGATAATCTCCTAAGCACTATATTATTGTTTATATTTTGACAAATATCTATAGTGTAACGTCAAGTTTGTTACGCACATGTTACTTGATTATTTATTTGTTATCAAAACTATATAGCAAAGAAAAAACATACATAATGACCATAAATATCAAGATGGATTAAGGAGTTGTATTATATATAGCAAGATCATAGGCTGGAAATATTTTTGATAATTATTTTCACACCTATGTTGTATTTATTCTCTCACTTCTCAAATACCAATCAAATAGTCTTAAAAAATTCCAATTTTTTGTCAAATTAAAATTAAATCATATCTACTTAAAAACAACTAAATTATGTTATTTTTATTTTTATTTTCACATATGCAGATTTAAATTAGTGTTATATATTCCTCTAGTGGTATCTGACACCCTAAACTAAAATATGATGTAAAATTATTTAAAAATTATTATAACATTAACTATTACATGTCGGCTCCATGTATTGCGATGTATTTAGGACCATAGATATTAGTAGTTTATTTAATTACATAAATATAAATAATAAAGTAGATATGTAATTTTAAAATAATTTAAAATATAGAACATTTAAAGAACATTGATTGGATATATTATATTTGAATTATATATAGATCAAGTTCAGCTGTGTAAGTTGTTTATCTTTAAATTGTAGAAATATTATTTTAGAACACGTCGACCTTTTTTCCTAACTGTACACGTAGTACGTACATATGTTTTTTCCTTTATCATGATTTATTATAAGTATATATGTGCTTATGGTTTATTTTTCTTGTGGCGAACAGTAGTAAGTAATAATTACTTTATTTCTTTCTTCAATCATACGTACGTAAGAAGTATTTTTTTGCCCAGGTCCACAATAATATATTTGTCCTCATGTATATGGATATATGAGGAAGGTGTTACTTTTTTTTAATAATAGATCTAATCTAATGGTATAAAATATTGGAACCACCCATTTAAGTGAAAATGTATGAATTGATATACTGTGACGGACCGGAAGCATATTGGATTCTACCCTTCAAATTTTATTAGCTATAGAATAGGATTATATAAGTAGGAGGGAGGGATGATTAGACGAAGGAAGAAACATATACGTACTATGTATATATGTACTTGCAATGTGGGCTAGTGGGTGGGAGAGAGTATATGCACGTAACGTACGTACAGGTGTGACCATATGTACTTCTAATTTCTAATGTCTAGGTTGTTGTAAGATTAATTTAATCTAAGAGTTTATAATATTGGACCTACCAATTTAAGTTAAAATAAACGTTACATATGTTTTTTTCTCAAAATTTATATGATTTTCTCTAATTTATTAGAGTGTCACGTGATATGGTTTAGGAGCGATTATAGAAGTCCCATGTGGCCCAAAATTTATATGATTTTCTTTAATTTATTAGAGTGTCATGTGGCGTCTTAGGAATGATTATAGGAGTCCCACGTGGCAGCTTGAGAATGTTTGCTAGAAGTTTAATGGACTTTTAGTATATAATAGATAGATAATAAATGGCTATATATATAATGGGTGTAAACTTTATTTTAAAATATTGCATTTCTAATTTAGGTATGTATATTTGGAAAGAGCGATATGATGATAAAATTTATATATGTTTGTAAAGACCTAGATTTAACGCTGGTGTGATATTTTAGTTATGAGCTTAGTAGCTAGTTGTCCGCGAATATAGACATAATAATTACCTTACATGGTTACAGTGTACTTATATTTTGCATTAACCCTTCTCCTCTTTACAAAGTACCAATCCAAAAATACGACATATATATGTATGCATTTATATTCCAAAGAAACTATATACAAGGGAAAAAAAGATACAAAAGGAAGGAGAGCGGCGTGTTTTTTTTTGTTGCGATACATACGTACATCATGTACGTACCTATGGGGAGGTGAGAGGCTGGTGGGACCATAGTTGTAGTTGCGGTTAGCTTTAAGACAAATCTAATATATAATATTGGACCCACCAATTTTAATGAAAATCAATGTACGGATGTTTTGCTTTTTTCTCAGATTTTCTAGGGTTTTCTCTAATTTATTAGAGCGCCATGTGGCAACTTGAGAGCGTTTGTAGGAAGTTTAATGGACTTTTAGTATATAATAGAAGATTTAAACTTATTATTGCTACCGCAATCTATAGACATTTAATAGAGAGGGAGTTTATAGTTGCGCGATGCTCAACTTAACATACTAGTACTATTAAATAGCATACAGATGTCGCCATCATTAGTGTCGGTTCAATAAAACCTAACACTAACTATGGTTTTCTGCACCCAACACTCTCACACTAAGTAGAGGTAACACATGCCACTAATAAGAAGACATTAGCGCCGGGTTATATACAAACCAATATTGATTATTCTACGTACAATCAATATCGATTTATAAGAATACCCGACACTTATTGGTTAATCATCAGTGTCGGTTCAAGTCGATTATAGTGGGATGGGCTAGCCTGCGAAAAGTCATCAATGTCGGGTCCTAAGCATTCGTGCCGGTTTGGGATATGTACTTAACTTTTTCATACAAATTCGAATTATGATAAAGTTTATATGAAAAATGTAGCTCTTGACAATATCTATGATTTTATAGTTAACTTTTTTAGTTGAATACTTTTAGATACTCAAATCCATTATTCAAAAATCGATTAGAAAGGCTAAAAAGGAAAATATCCATTTGCTAATAGAATTGATGTGGATGTGAGTTGGTTGAAATAGATGCACGTGGTAGGGTGTGTCCAATTCGGTGGTAGATTGCTATAACAATTAGTTGTTGCACTTGTACATAATGAAATGATAGAATATAAAATGTGGAGTACAAAAGGTTAGGCTCCTTGATCCGAAGGAAAAACATAGAAATTTTGGAGAATTTTAATTCTATAGAAAAATTTCCTAAGAATGTTTTGAAGCAAATGATAAAATCATATCCTATCCTTTGAAATTCCTACATAATGAACAATTCTATAGAGATTTTGAAAGAATTTTTTTGAAAGGAGATTTTCAAGGAAATTTAGCAAGAGCTCTAACCTCTTATAAATTTTCCTTTGAATCTATCTCTAATCTGATTCCTACGTTTTTTCTGTAGTCCAATCAAACGGTTATTGCTGTGTTTTTTTCTGTGTTTTACAATACTTAGATTTGAACATGTATTATATCACCTATGTATTTCCTATTCCTCGGTCTTTTTTCATTCCCGCTATTCAAGGAACCCTAAAGTTGCTGTCAGCCCGTGACATCCCTGTGATTTCCAGGATGTGCATTTTTCCGATGCAAATAACTCGTCTTTGATAGTTAGCTTGATAGATTATCATCCACACATCCAAAACTTAAATTCCCAGACGTTACTTTATTTTAGAGAGTTATTTTTGGTGTTTACTCATTGTATGTTATTTTCTGGATTGACTTTTAAATCACTACTGATATTAAGTTTTCTGGTAACTTTTCTGGATTGACTTTTAAATCATTACTGATATTAAATTTTTAGAAAAAAATATTTATTTATAAGTGTTTAGGTGGTATGGATGGAAGGAACGAGACCCTAACCAAATGCAATACTGTACAGTTTGTTGTTGGGAGATCCTCGTGAGTTCTAGGATCCACTTTTCCGTCGTATTTTTCTTCTTCCTGACGCGAATTATAACAACACGAGAGTACAGTCGCCCATATTCATCCCATCGCTACCGTCCGAGAGCTTTCTCGCTCGGCTGACGGCGACCGCCGGCGCCGGTGTCGCCACGCGCCGGCGCCTCCGCCCGCTTGCTCGCACGCGGGCCGGTCAAGAGGCCCACGCCGCGTAGGCCTAGCTAGCTAGCTGTATCCCGCCGCCAGCGCGCGCGCGAGAGAGAGAATAGCTAATACCTCGCTCCCCAATACTATTTTGATCAACGATATCTATAAAACTAAGATGTTTTAAATAAAAAAGAGCTATATATTATGATATATTATTTAATAATAAATCTGGTAGCATTAATTTTATATTATTGATCTTTTTATTTTCTTATGCTATTAATAGTCAAAGTTACAAATATTTGACTTGACACTATACTAAAAATATATATTTTTTTTGGACGGAGGGGTAGTAATTAAGAACATACTCCCTCCATCATATAAAAAACGAATCTAGAACCGAATGTGACGTATTCTTTAGTATGTCTAGATTCGTAGTATATGTCAAATCTAACAGTGAAGCAAGCAAAAAAAAATGTGTATAAACATGACCTGTGTTACAACTAGAGAAACAAAAATTAAATGAAAATCATGCAGCACCTGTGCAGTGAAAAAAATTGTTATTTTTTTCTTCATAAATAGATTGAATTTAGACTTATATACAACACACACACATACTCGCCATAGATATACAAAATACTTTCCGGGTTGGAAAACACTCCCCTAGACCACGGAAGCTTCAACCCCACCCCCACCTCGCGCGAGACGTCAGCGACGACGTCCGCCGCGCGCCGCTACCGCTACGTCCTAGCGCTAGCGCGGCAGCTCGTGTCGCGGTGGAAAACGCCCACTTCGCCACCGCTCGCGCGCGCACGCCCACGCCGCTCCTCCCCTCCCCTCCCCCGCCTCCGTATAAAGCCGCGCCCGCGCCGCGCACGCCGGCCGGCCACCGAGGACGAGCTAGAGCGCGCGCGCCGCCGCGAAACATTAGCTATAGCTAGCTAGATATAGCCGGCCGGCGATCGAGGAGATCGATCGATCGAACGCCGCCGCGCGCGCGCGGTCATGACGCCGGCGAGGGTGGTGTTCATCTGCTGCGTTGTTCTGCTCGCCGCCGCCGCCGCGGCGGCGTCGTCGTCGACGGCGGCGGGGATCACCAGGGCCGACTTCCCGCCGGAGTTCATCTTCGGCGCCGGCTCCTCCGCTTATCAGGTAGACACGTTTTTTTTCCCTTTTTTAGCGCGAACTCAACCACCAAGCAAACCTGATCACTGCCGATGCATGCACAGTGCACACACATCTATCTCTTGCTCTACAAATCATGCAAAAAAGAAGGAAAAAACAAAACTGTAACTAGATACAAATCGGATGGAGTTGAATCTGTTGCACAAATTAATTCGAAACATTAATTATATTTCTCGCATCATCGATTTGCTCGTTAGAATATCAGAGAGTACAAAATTTTACTGTCAACGCCTGTCCAAGACTGCAACCTGTTCGTCGGTATGTCCAACCGCCACACTATCTCGTTCGCTATTCCTGTCCATGTGTTCCCCCTGACTAACACGAACCATACAAAATAACAATATAAAATTCGTCGATTCAACGAGCACATTCGTTGTGCCCTTTGTTCAATTCTTGGATAAAAACAGACGGATGAAATTCAGAGTGACTTTTTTGTTAACCTCTCGCTTTCCTACTGAACTTTAATCACAGAAGTAGGCTTTGCTTCTTTCTTCGTTTAACCTTTGTGCTAACCAGTGTCACTCTCTTTATGACTTGTTGTTTCACGTTAGTACTCTGGTAATATGCAATATATGTCGGTATGCAAGAAATTCATTGCATCGACGCAACATTTCAGTACTTGTTCCGTCTGTGGTTAACTGTTCAGCTGTTCTTTAGCTTTGTTTTGTACTTAAGAGAGTACAAATTGTGAACTGGTGATACACTGATACTAAAACTCCTAAAAGTCCCGGTTTTGCTTGCTTATGTCATGGCTAGTCCAAATTCAGCCATCATAATAACCTTTTGCACAAAGCAAGGGCATAACTCCACAAGAGTCAGTGTGCCTGACGAGCCGATTAATTATACCTGGTACAATTTATATTCAAGTATTGTTCGATAGGAAATATGTACTTATTAGGCACTGCAAATTGGTAGGAGAATTATTGAAAGCTGTAAGATATTGTCTTCTACACCAACTTGGCTCCGAGAAACATAAGAAAAGCCGGCGCTGCATAAGTCAATTTCCCCAAGTACTAGTCCATGCATCTGGCTTAGTTTAATCTGCTAGCCGACACCTTGTTCTTATTGTTTTTCTCGAAAAAAGAATTGCTAGCTCTTCTGGAATCGGTGCCCTATTTTCCATTTTTACTGATTTCATGTTGCGAATTGTGATGATTCCTTGGTCCTTTGGTCACCGCTAACCTGCAAGCAGAAACAATCAAACAACGCTCACCGAATACGACTCTCGGCGATTGGTGGCCTCTAGTGCACAATCTTGCTTTGTTTCTGACGAAGATGTGTTTGTTTCCATCGTCTTCCACTAGGAACAAAAAACCATACATGTCGTTTTCTTTCCGGTGTCACTTGAATGGTCTTTTCTGCATCTTCCGTTTGGCATCTTGCCTTTAGAGAGAGTGCATAAGTGTATCTTGCTAAGTACAAGTCGCAGTGGAGGCCTGACATTTGGCAGATTCAGAGAAATGCATGGCCTGAAACCTATGTTGTTAGAACAGGGAAAAGTTGTGGTGAGGTGAGATCAGTAGATGTTACTATCGTTGCTTTCAGCTGAGTTGGTGGTAAGGAATTGGGGAAAATGCATTTTGCCAAATAAGTCAGATGTGTACTTTGATTTGATTCTCTGAGGGAAAATTAGTAATCGCACTGCATTAGTAGTCATGCAGCAATTTCAGTATATTGGTTACAGGTAGAAAATAATTAGCATCATAGTACCCTCATTGATAAGGTTGTGAACGTTCAAAATGGTGCATCATAAAAACTTATGCTACTCGACATGTTGATCAAGATTTGGAGTGTTGTATAGCATATTGTACTGACCTGAACATTCACAAAATTGCTTAGGTTGAAGGTGCATTTGCAGAGGATGGAAGAAAGCCTAGTATCTGGGACACGTTTTCGCACTCAGGTTAGTTTGGTCTAAGATTTACTTGTGAAAATTGAGTCTGTGTCTACGATAAATTTCAAATTCTTAAAATTAACGAGAACTTTCTAATTCTATTTTCCACAGGCTATTCTGTTGATGGAGCAACCGGTGATGTAACTGCAGATCAGTATCATAAGTACAAGGCAAGTTCTTGGGACAGTTCTGGTTAAGGTTTTTTTTTTCAGATTACGAGCATGTCAATTTCTGAAGATGTAAAGCTTTTGCAATAACAAATATGTCTTTGATAACAGGAAGATGTAAAGCTTTTGCAAGACATGGGCGTTGACGCGTACAGGATGTCCATTTCTTGGTCTCGGCTTATTCCTGGTGAGTTTACGCTAATAGTATTACTGCATGTTCAGAAGTGTGCATAAGAAAAATCAGCTGAAAGTTGACTGATTTGGTTGCTTGTACATGTAGATGGGCGAGGAGCTGTCAATCCGAAGGGACTGGAATACTATAACAACCTGATTGATGAACTTCTGAGCCATGGTATGTAAATGTAATCCCTTTATCTGAACTGTTACTAATTTTGCAATGCTGAAATATGAGGATAATATTTTATCCATGTTTTTTGTGTTTATGTAGGAATCCAACCTCACGTAACGATATATCATTTCGATTTTCCTCAGGCTCTCCAAGATGAATACAATGGGATACTTAGTCCTAGATTTGTGTACTTTCTTGCTACCCCCCTAAGCCTTACCCCCTTACTGCAATTGCTTCCATATGAACTGAAATAATATTGCTTTTGCATTCTTGGCCATGATGTAGAGAGGACTTCACAGCATACGCGGATGTCTGCTTCAAGAACTTTGGTGATAGAGTGAAGCACTGGAGCACTGTCAATGAGCCTAACATCGAGCCGATTGGCGGATACGATCAAGGAATCCTTCCGCCACGGCGATGCTCATTCCCCTTTGGTGTCCTCAGTTGTGACAATGGCAACTCTACCACAGAGCCATACATAGTAGCACATCATCTTCTTCTTGCACATTCCTCAGCAGTGTCCCTCTACAGAGAGAAGTACCAGGTCTGAAATTAATGCCATCTTCTCTTACAGAAGGACCGATGATCATCTTCAGATATAGAATCTAACCTTTGTCTATTGCTTATCAGGCCACTCAAGGAGGACAAATTGGGCTCACATTGCTCGGTTGGTGGTACGAGCCCGGGACGCAAGATCCTGAAGATGTAGCAGCAGCTGCAAGGATGAATGATTTCCACATTGGATGGTTTGTTATGCTCCAAGTCTAGACTTCAAGTTTCACAAAAACACCTGAAGTTTTTCATGTACCTTACATGTAAGATCATGTGTTTTTGGCTCAGGTACATGCATCCTTTGGTGTACGGTGACTACCCTCCGGTAATGAGGAAGAATGTTGGGTCCAGGCTACCATCTTTCACAGCTGAAGAATCAAAGAGAGTACTTGAATCCTATGATTTTGTCGGATTTAACCACTATGTCGCCATTTTTGTGAGAGCCGACCTTAGCAAACTTGATCAGAGCCTCAGAGATTACATGGGCGATGCAGCTGTCAAATATGACCGTAAGTGTCCTAATGACATCAAATCTTAGTACGTCTCACAATATAACAACAGATAATTTAATTTTTCTACACTTCTTTTGTTCTTTTGCAGTCCCATTCCTGAAATCAAATAATGAGGTATTCGGTGACATAACTTGCTCTTGTGAAATTATACTGTCTGTCTCTGAATTTAGTGCCAGACTGCCAGTACCTCCATCATGGCTAAAGCATTTCTCCTTTTTTTTTCTGATGGTGAAAAAACTGAACAATAACAGTTCCCACTCGGGTTGACGAGTGACTTCATGACGTCGACCCCATGGGCTCTGAAGAAGATGCTCAATCATCTCCAAGAGAAGTACAAGAACCCTATTGTCATGATCCATGAGAATGGTAACATCACCTGAAACACTGCCAACAACAGAGCATCAACTGATCAAACAGTTTTACACTTTTACTGCAACAATCACACTGCCAAGATGATTGAATCATCAGCTGATAAACAGTCTTACTGCAACAATCACACTACCAAAATGATTGAATCGTCAACTGATCAACCGTTTTACTGCAACAGTCACACTGCCAACAATAAATCATCAATTGATCAACAGTTTTACTGCATCAGTTCAGATATAATATATACTCACTCTCTGCTACATTGGCCATGCTTTTTCAGGAGCCGCTGGGCAGCCTGACCCTTCAGGCGGAAACACCTACGACGACGATTTCAGGTCGCAATATCTGCAGGATTACATCGAGGCCACACTTCAATCCATCAGGTATATGCTTTTTTCTTTTACATAATATAAGCTTTATTAAACCCATCCAATTACACTAAGTGATACAACCGTACCGAGAAAATTTCTCGGTCGGATTCATTTTTTTATTAAAAAATTCGTGTTGAAATTTGAAATTTTGTTTGAACCGAGCAATAAAACCCTCAAAGAAATTTCTCTATTGGATTCAATTTCTTTTTTATTTTTTTTCAAAAAATCGTGTTGAAATTTGAAATATTTGTTTGAACCGAGTGCAGGAACGGGTCGAACGTGCAGGGCTACTTCGTGTGGTCGTTCCTGGACGTGTTCGAGTACCTGTTCGGCTACCGCCTCCGCTTCGGCCTCTACGGCGTCGACTTCGCCTCGCCGGAGAGGACCAGGTACCAGAGGCACTCGGCGCGGTGGTACGCCGGCTTCCTCCGCGGCGGCGAGCTCCGGCCGGCGGCGGCGGCGCTGGCCGGCGGCGGAGCCTACTCCCAGTGATCAAGGTTCTTCTTCCTCGCACGCTTTCATCTCGCGAAGAACAGGACAGGACGGGACAATAAAATTTACCTGGATAGATACAGAAGAATTATACAGTTCATATGGAAGTTGATCTTTTGAATAGGGTCTTAGAATGAATGGTCTCTCTTCTTCCCCTGGTTTTTGGTTCTTCTGTTTACAGACCAATGATGGGTCAATGTCAGTCAAATTGTGTGATTTAGATCAATGGGTCAAAGTGTATGATGTGATTGTGTAATTGTGTCGATTATATATAAAATTTTGAAGTCTCTCGTAGTTTGAATTTGAAATTGTACACACTACGTATAGGATAGTGGTTATAAATTTTGAATTTTGATGCGAATGCCATCATCGCACGTCGTTCAGGAACTGCGTAGGCCTCAAGAAAGGAGCAGCAGCATAACTAAAGTACTCTCCCCGTCCATAAAACAAAGGTGGTCCAAGATAGATATAGAATAGGATGTGATATATTCTACTACTATAAGATGGTGTTTGAATCTTCTGAAGATAAAGATGAAGTTTGAATCTCCTGAAGATAAAAATGAAGATTAAGTGTTTCACGCAAAACGAGGTACTAATAACGTGTAATTAATTGAGTTTTAATTATTATAAAGTTGAAAAATGGATTAATCTAATATTTTGGAACAACTTTCATATATAAATTTTTCGCACGAAACGCACCGTTTAACAGTTTGAAAAACATGCCACGAAAATCCAAAAATTCATCCTCTGCTTGTAGTGGAAACGAACAGGACCTAAATCTGAAAAAAGTACTACATCAAAATATTAAGAATCTAGATAACTTTCTATCTAGATTCATAACAAGAATGTGTCATATTCTATACTATGTTTTTTTATGGAACGGAAAGAGTATAAAGTAGTAGAGATGGATGATTCAAGATATACAGCAGAAGCATTTGATTCGATAATTACTACAGTTCAATGGCAACATTGTTTAGCAGCATTTTCCTCAGTATGATTCAGGACTAGCACATATAGAGAATTCCAAACAATATTGTCACTTTAACTGAGACAATTCATAAAGCATCTTCACTTGAAGAAACTAACATGAGGTTGCCTTCCAGAAATAAAAAACCATAACGGTACGAAATACCGGCATCATCAACATAAGATGACGATTAATGACAGCAACCTGAGTTCCTGACACTGAAGCCTCAGTTATTTCCCATTCTTTGCTGAAACAAACCCAAATATCGGCCAACCCCGGAATATACACGATGGAGGGAAGACAAGTATTCACAGGAATCGCGGAGTAGGCAGACCATTCTGTGCGCCATAAATGGAAAGCAGCTCTGTGGCTGATCTTCCACTAAAATTATCATAAGATCGATTATGTACGGGAGCCATCGGACTCCACCAGTGAGGTTCCCCAGTTTGTGGCCAGAAGGTCTCTGAACTCCAGCTGTATGATTGATTGGCATGTCTAGGGGCACCAACACCATTACGGATGTTACCGTTTGTGGTGCTTGCGGTTTCAGTGAGAGGAAAGTCATGGGGGGCTCTGATCTCAGCTGACGATGAGGCTGCAATGAAAGATGTGATTGACAAAGCCCTTGGTCGAACCCTTCTGGTCGCAGGAGGTTGTGGATTGCTTGCCATGGATGATGGAATTGTTTGTTGAACAGCGTGACTTGTCATACCATGGCCATGGCCTCTAGTTTCAGACGCAGCAGTTAATGACCTCAAATGTGCAAGATTGCTTGCTCTGCGAGCTGTCGGCCTGCATTGATCATAAATTTTTAAGACCTAGCACCAAAAGTGATGTCACACCAAAAGAAAGTGAATGAAAATTGTGAGCATAAATTCACATTGCATAAATAGATTTACTTAATCTTCATGCGATTATTTCTTGGCATTGTTAGTAACAGTTAGAGACAGCTAAGCATAGCACAGTAATTTGTGTTCTTCAAGATCTATGATTTGACTATTGGTTTGAGACACTGCAGGTTATTGGACGTAAGTCATGTGCATAAATACCATGAATCTTGAGAAAAGGAGCTCTTACATACTGGGAGTTGGTGACAGATTTGTCTTGCTTCCAACTCCAAGATAGTAAATACCCTTTTCGTGAAAAATATAGTAAATACCCTATTCACCTAGAGACACATCTCTGAACTAAAATTTCAAATATTCGTAAAGACTTACCTGTGGAATAAGGAATTATCATGCATATGTGGTCGCAATCTTTGCTGGTTGCCTCCATCATATCTTGGCATTCCTATGCCAAATGGGGCGGTGGAATGATTGAGTGTTCCAGGCATTTGAACACTACCTAAATACTGCTGTTCTCTCTCATGGTTTCTTGGCTCAGATTCATTGAAAACTTGAGTATTTCTCAAATCTGTAGTTGCATGACCTTCCGTACCAGTAGGACGCTGATGGAATGGTATGCTTTCAGTACTGGCAGTAGAACTAGAAGGCGCATACATTGGATGGTGAAAACCATGCAGAGACCCTATATACTCCAAAACTGTCCATTTTTCATAAACAGGAAAACCTTAGAATAAATGAAATAAAAACAAAATGAAAGCACTAAAAGGGAAGGATCAGCACACTTACAAGGATTTGGCTCAGATTCGCTTTCCCTGCATCAGGAAAGCATCATCAAATTCAGCATATGTTAAGGTGATGCATAGAGCCATTTAAGTTATATAGGAGCTTAAGTGAAATATTATGGCTTGAGCATAATTTGAAAACTTTAATGAAAAGAAGAAATAATTACCCAAAAACAGAGGTCAATGGTGTATTGAAGGGACACCACCCAAATTCAAATGAGAACGGCTGAAATTACATCCAGACAGGAAACAGTTAGAATTAGGCTAGACACTGGTGTTGTAGGAAATATGGAACAGTGAAAAGTACCTTGCTATTTTTTTATTAGATCTCAAAAACATCATACAACTAAATGCGTTTTGCTTTAGAAATAAGACTAACATACACCCTTACAATTTCAGTAAAGGATATTGATAAAACTATCAGGCAATGAAAAAATCAAGCTCATGTTATCTCTTACTCTTAATTCCCTATAGCATTTTTATGCCTTCAAACAAGATTCCTATTTCCAAATTTTGATGCTACCCTGATCAACAATGTGTCCCTAGAGGCCTATAGGACTGTCTTATATAATAAACATGAATTTTATTCTGAAACTTTGGGCAATGATATTATGCTTTCCTAGAGTAACCTTAGCTATATTTAGGTCATGATTGAACTGCGACGTAGAGTTTTTACAGGACCAAACATACAAAGTTAGTTTAATCATTCATGTGTCAATAATATCCAACACACAAAAAGAGGCCATGCGGGGGCCAAAATCTAGTTTTGTAGAATGCAAGGTGTTGCGATATTTTTCTACTTTTCATTTTTCATTATGCGAATGGAAATAAAACTATATATTTATCATCATAAATAGCCTAGATTGCCATTACATGCAAAATAATTCATTTTCTGGCAATTACTTACGTAGTCAAAGGTTTCACCATTCAGCCAGTCACCTGTATCAGAATGGCTACATGGTTGGCTCTCATTCCCATAGAGCCAGTGACCTTTCTCAATATTCCGACAATTTGGGCACTGCATCACCCCTTTTGCATTAAATGCAGATCCAATGCAGTCTAGCAAACAAGAAAGAATAGTATGAAGTATCCAAAAAAAAAAGTAATATGAAGTACAAAACATACGCTGATATGCATGCAACAAGTTTGCCAGTGCATAAGAAGTCACCCACATGAATGGACACGTATAGCCCGCATATGTGTAAACAGGAAAATTGTATGCATCGAGAATCGCAAAGACATTTGTCACAATTCGAAGTAAATGAGAACCTATTCTTCAAATTTCAGCTTAGTATACTGCTATCAACGTTTCCAGAAGATAGTCATTTAAGCCGATGTTTCAGGAGTTTACGGTTGGTTGATGTTAATCAAACTCAAGCATGACAAATTTATCACTCCGAGAAAAATCACCTAACCATTTGAATTCAGCGTTAAAAATTGGATGTTCGGTGATTACGGGTGAGTAATCCAATTGAGATTCAACATACCACCACAGCCAGTTCCATTCCACTATGAACAATCACCAACGTCGTGCATTCAGCCATTCACCCATGCATGCATGAGTAGAATTCCCAAATTGGGGACGCATAACAGCAAAAGAACATCGCAAAATTTCAGGTTCTTTCCCCCCTCGAATTACCCAGCCTAAGACGAACAGGACCGGGCTAATCCGATCCCCCCAATAGGCACAATTCTGCTCGCGAGATCGAAACCTCCGCGCATGCTACATCGATCCATCCATCCATCCACCCACTCGACGAGATGGGGAACGCGGACGAGGGCGGGGGGGCTGACCTAGGTGGAACTCGTGGCCGCACTGCAGCCGCGCGGTGGACCTCGCCGCCACCCCGTCGCCGCACGCCACCGCGTCCAGGCAGATCGAGCACACCGCCGCCGCCGCCGCCGCCGCCGGCGAGGAATCCGGCGACACCTCCAGATCCATCGGCTCCGCCGCGAAGGCCATGAGAGGCTGACGTGGTGGGGCCCGGATGTCTGCGAGAGGAGGGGGGGATTGTCTGTGTTCTTACGGGGGTGGGTTTGGTTGGGTTAAGGAGGAATTGATGGAGACCAGCGGGACGGGAGATGTCCGTGTCCAAACGAAAGGACACGTCAGCGTGATGTTATCATGATAAGGTTGATGGATTCTTTTATTTTCTTTCAGTATTTTGCTTTTGCTTTTCTTCTTTTTTTAAAAAAAATGAAGTTTTGTTTAGATGTAACCTCTCCGTCACAAAATAAGCCAACCTCGTATTAGAATGTTACAATAAATTTATACATATATGCTCAGATGTGTTCAGATGGACACATTCTAATATGATACACCCTCTATCTCAAAATGTAAGCATTTTTAGCGTGTCCAGATTTATAGCTAAAAATGATTTCATTTTAGGACGGATGCAGTATTAGCTTACTATGAGATGGAGAAAGTATATTTGTATCATTAGTGAATGATGGTATGTACTTGTGGTAGTATATTTTATTTTATTTTTAAAATTGTACTTTTAGAAACAGGATTTTCACTTATTCTAATATAGAAAACATGTTCTTTGTTATGTAGGCGTCATACAGGCAAAATGAGACAAATGACTAAGTAAATAAGTCACTTACATGTCACGACTGACGATAAGTCAAAACGTCATTCATAATATTAAGACTCGATTTACATTGTCATTTTTTTCAGGATTTGCTGGCCTAATCTTCGAAGATACTCATGGAGGTAGGGTTTGCGTGCGTGTGTTCATAAGGATAAGTGCGCGTGCGTTGTGAGTATCTATATTGTACGGTGTAATTCTATAAAAAAAAATTAAGCTTGAGGAATGTGAATGAAATTTGATCTATAGTTCAGGCCTCCAAGGGACGTCAAATGAACCTTTTACCTTTTCGTGGAGAAGAGAAAGGTCCAACAAAAGTCTGATCGCGGGGCTCTTACATGGACCGCAAGTGGCCATGGTTTATATGGGCCGTAATGGGCCAGATCCTGAAAAGTTCTCGGCAGGACTCTCATTCGGAACAGAAAATTTCCGTCGTTATTTTTTAGCATCAAAATTAATAAAAACTGAAAAGACAAAATCAATTGATATAAAAAATTTAAAAAAATATTTTGAACAAATAAATTTTAATATAATATTTTATCGAGCTTCATTTGGATAAATTCTACTGTTTGAACCATCTCCGATCTACTTTGGGCCTGTTCAGTTGCTGCTTTCGCGGCTGCTCCACAATCGACGGTAACAGTGCCGCACTTACCATGTGCAGCTGCAGCCGTTACAGCCGGCCTACCGAACACTCCCATTAGTGCCACAATTTCAATATTTGATCTTAGTTTGTATATGTAAAAAAAATCAAAATTTGGCTTATCAGTCATAACCAAAACTTAAATTTTAAAACTTAATATCACAGTTAATTTTGGGGCCTTAGCTTTTAAACTGCTAGAGTAGAGATCCTTTGCTTGGCTGATCCGTTTATTTTTCTAGGGCTTATCACCCGTAGCTCAACAAATCATAGCCATATCTGCTCGTAGGAGCAATCAATTTATTGTATGTTCGTTATCATGTCGACCGATCATGAAGATGAATAGCCACAAACTAGCCACAAATTAAAGAATTCTCCAATACGCGCACTGGAAAATTTCAAAAGCTGTGTTAATGTTTTAATTTCATTGTGATTTTGATGGGCACTACTTGAGGGATATATACGATAGTTGCTTAATGGTCACTTGAGTTACTCATCTCTTCGTTGAATTCATTATCTATAAATTTCTCTTCGTTGAATACTTGAATTAGCTTTCGGTCGTCATTAAGAACTAATCGTCGGTGTAACAGTAATGCTACATTACTTCGTCTCTATCAACCTTTATAAATCTTTTGTACTTAAGTGCATAATTGGAGCAACTTAGCTTTCTTTCTCTGTCAGTAGTGTCTGAGCCACTTCAATTATTCCAACTTGCGTAGTTCAAAAATGAAAAAAAACAACAACTTGAATTGGGAGTTGGAACTACACTGTCGAAGTGACTGTCTTTGATCACTAAGCAAGTTCAAAGGCAGTCTCAATTGTAGTCAAATTAGCTTTTTAACATGGAAAAGCATGCATTTGATTTCGTCAGGGGAAAATGAAGTGCAGAGTATACATGTTTGATCTGATATATAGGAGTGCTTTTCTGATCACCTATTGCCTAGGTAATTCATATTTGAAAATTTTTTATCTGAAAGGTTTATGTTCTGATGTCCATTTGGTGGATGGGTGAAGATCTTATCATCTTAAATGGTAATCCATCTCAAATTATGCCGCGAGACATAGTCTTTACTTCTCTCCTCTTTGTTTTATTTTCTTTGTCGGGTTGCTTGTTTGTAAATTGTTGCAGAACTTACTTAAGTCTTAACACAAAATATGCGCAATCCTTATGCGCATTCTTAAAAAAAAATATGGGAGTTTGCATTTAGTTCTGCAGAAGCCCAGTCCAGGTTATCTGTTGCTTCAGTTCAGCATGCATTAGAAATTCAGACTCCAGGCACATGAATTATTGCATCAATGAACAGAATAAGTCCCTTTGATTACTCTAGACAATATTCATCGTTCACATAAAGCTCAAAACCGTACCAGAAACAGAAGAAACTAGCTACAAAACAGAAACTACATAAACCAACACACATAGATTTAAGATTTCTTTGCAGGAGGAGGAGGAGGGGGGGTTCTGAACTCTGAACTTGTATCCAAAAATTGTACTAACATATTTCATTACATGATAAGTTTTTTTTAAGATTTAAGAAACTAGCTATGAAATAGAAACTAGAAACATCAAAACATAGATAATTTGAAAGATTTTGAAAAAAGGGCGGTCTGAACTCTGAACTTACATCCAAAAATGGTAACATATTTCATTAGAGCAAACACACTCTTGTGTCACATCATAAGGTGTTGCTTAGTTGCTAACATATATAACCATACGTTAATTGTCCTTTCATCCCTGGTTAACTATACGGTATGTCACCTTTCATCTATTGTCACTTTGTCAGTACTAGTGATCTCCCACATACATCAGTGCCAGTAGAACATGAACAAAATCATGCACACAAAGTCTAAACGCTCCGGCTCATCCGACTGCGAATCCTCCTGATGAACATATCAGCAGCCTGATCGATCTCATCGTCTATGTTGAACTCCAGCCCTTCGTCCTCCCGGTTGCTCCTGATTATATCGATGACCGACGGCTCGTCATCATCGCCATCATCATCACCACAGTCGTCTTGATCATCACTGTAACAAGTGTCATCATCGTTGAAGAGCGAGTGAGTCCAGTGATCAGTGCTGTAGCCATGATGATCCTCTTGATCGAACATTGCCAGTTCAGAGAGATGACGATCATGGTCGTCGGCGATCACCATCTCATCATGGACTACAACCTTTCGCATCACGAGGGCCTTGTTGCCGTCATGGTTCTTGTTCTTGTGGTAGTAGTCCACCCTGGCCTTCTCCTTCTCCACTATCAGAGCATGGATCCGGTGCGATATGGCGCCGATCATGGCCATCCTTCGGCGGAGGGAGGCGACGATGAGGAGCCTGGCCCTGACTGTGCTGGCCTTGCTCCTCACAATCGTCGCCGCCTTCTTCAGAAGCTCGGGAGCCTTGCCAATCTTCATCTTTGAGGTTGAAGGCAAGGTAGAAGAAGAGGAAGAGGAAGATGATGAGATGGCTCTATCAAGAACAACAGCAGCTAAGTATCTGTAGTGATTCAGGCTTGGCATGAGTAGTAAGTAGATCACTGAGATTAATTCAGAGATGATTAGTAGCTAAGCTAAGCTAAGCTAGCTAGTAGAGCTCTAGGTTGCAGTGGCATCTGGCATGGGCTTTGAGCTGAAGCCCCATGGGTGTATTTATAGCCAGGAACTGACCATGCAAATGTGCAGCTTTGTTCATGTGTCAAGATCAAGCTTTTTGGTACAGCCAAAGCATGAAAGAAACATTATATGGAAAAAAATAATTAATTGGCATGTGGAGCAAGCACCATGAGAATGTTGAGAGTGGAAGCAAGCTAAAGAGGGTGGTGGCCTATGTGATCAAAAGCTAGCAAAAGCTATGAGAAAAATATATGGAGAAAGTACTCCAATTCCAATTAGGTAACAAAGGGTAACTCTCCCAGGTTAAAGATTGGGCCCTTGGGATCCCTATATCCCTGTTAGTTACTTCCTCCGTCCATAAAATAATATAGTTTTAGCTAGTCAAGGAAGATTAAGCATGAGGTTAACAAATTATTATGCCTTCATTAACGCGGTGATAAAACGAAGAGGGAGAGAAAACAAAGATAAGAAGAGAGTATTATTAGTTTGATAAATAAAATAAGAAAAAACTAGAGTGGTATATTAAAGAGATCTGGTAAACCCTATTTAAAAGTATATTTTTTTATAATAAATTCTTAAGCTAAAATTAACTACTCTCCCCGTCCCAAATTATAGAGCGTCCTGGTCCTCTCTTTTAAGGAAAATAAAACTAGGTAACTTTTAATTAATAATCATACTAACTATATATATATATATATGCTACATATTATACATGTTATATCATTAGATTCATATTCTAAAGTACTTTCATATAATGTTAATTTTATATTTGTTGAGAACATAACATAAGATAAATTAATGCTTAAAGTATGTCATTGAAGATCGTGTAAAAAATATAGCCCTTATAATTTGGAATAGGTGGAGTACATTGTTTAAAGGGCGGAGGGAGTATGCATGCGACTGTGTGCTCAGCTAGTGTATCAGTAGCTGATGATGACGGCTGCTTCCACAACTAAACAAAATAAACACAAAGCTAAACCAAAAGGGGAGCTTTAATTTCTTGGCTGTTTTATTTCCATTGTGATTCATGCCGGAAAACTGAAACTAAAGGAGGTATATAATAAGCATGCACGAGGGCCGGCCATGCCATGCATGAGCCAATCCGGCGTTCACATAAGTAGTTGCAGTGCGATGGCTTTAATCTTCTTCTGTGTTTGCTTAATTTGAAAGCTGGGACGATGGATTAGTAACAGTTTTATTATATACTCCCTCCGTTTTAAAATATTTATCACCGTTAACTTTTTAGCACATATTTGACCGTTCGTCTTATTAAAAAAATTTGTGAAATATGTAAAACTATGTGTGTACATAAAAATATATTTAACAATGAATCAAATGATATGAAAAGAATAAATAATTACTTAAATTTTTTGAATAAGACGAATGGTCAAATACGTACTTAAAAATCAATGGTGTTAAACATTTTAAAATGGATGGAGTATAAAATGTGTGCATGCTGTAGCTGCTGCTTCTCTCTCTCTTGTGTATTCTTTTGCTGTTCGTCGACACGCATAGATGGCTTAGCTTTCGTCTTTTAATCCGCGGCATGGAGAGGGAGCTTTGCCATAGCTAAGCTTAGCTTAGCTAGTAGTAGTACTTGCTTTGCTGCTTGCGTAATTCTTTCTCGTTTTTTTTTCTCCTTTATTTGCCGTTGCAATTTGCAGTTGCAGGTTGCATTATTGGGGAATGATAATCGAGCACGTGCTCCTCGTGCGCGCGTATATCAGGTGTGAGTCTGTGACAACTGACAAGTTAACAGGGGCGGCTTGCTTATTTCAGAGATTTTGTGTGTGTGTGTGTGTGTGTGTGTGTGTGTGGATATTATGTTGGCAGGCAGGAGACATGGCGCCAAGCATACTCTAGTTCATGGCGGCTGCAAAAGGAGAGTGCTAGGCTGGTATTTTCGGCCCACCCGCCCGCCTGCCCGGCCACATTATTTCGGGATAAATTCGGTACTCGGAACATTTAATTCACGGATATCGGCTTAGAATACGGGTCTTTTTTTGGCGGATACGAGATCGGGCTCGGGAACGTGGTATCCGACGGATACGGGTTATCCGGTAAAAAATTCGGGTATTACCCGGATAATTATACAGATATTACCTGTATTATATTTTTGTGAGGCATTTTTTGATACTATGTATTTGTTCTACTATGATGTATTGTACTCTATTTATTTCCTAAGGTCCTAATGGCCTAATATAATCATAATTTATGGATATATAGAGTTGTTAAATGGTTATTGTCTATGTGATATATAAGATTGTTGCTTCGGCTTGATATCCGAATAAATATTCGTAACCGATAGTGGATGTATCCATTTTGATACGTATTCGTTCCGTATTTTTGCCCGATATTATTCAAGTTTGTATCCGTATTGGCACTATCCGTATCTGACCCGATTCCGATTATAAAATATGGGTTAGGATATGGGAAGGGTAAGATCCGACCGAACCCGACCCGTTTTCACCCCTATATACTACGGGATCCTGTCTCGATAGAATAATTTCGGTTAGGTATCATATTATAATACTTGTCAGTAGTAAGGTATCACATGACACTACATAGTATCGGTTAATATCCATTGTAAGGGAGAAAGTGGATCGGATTCGGATAGATAGTAGTTTTACCATATCCTATAATATATATATTTTTAAGTGGATTTGAAGCGGGTGCGGATTTTGCGTGGATGCAGATATGGAGCAGATTGTGTCAGATGTCGGAAATGGTGAGGACTCGGCTTGTAAACAGATTAAAATAACCGGATGTGGCGTGTACATTTATTCGTCAATACAATAGGCAACAATATTGTACCAATGTCCCAATTCACATGACAGCACACATCACATCGGAATATCATGTTAATGATTAATACTCCATCCGTTCCATAAAAATTACATTTCTAGCTAATTTAGGACAAAACAGTAGGATTAAAAAATGACCACAATGACCTTATTTAATGAACCCATTGCATGCACACATTCCATATATACAAATGATTAAAAGGAAGTTTGAGAGAATTAACCTATATAATTAGCATACTTAAATTACAAGCTGAGAGAACTTAAGGAAACTTATCTAGATGAATCAATTTGCTGGGCCCCATATGGCTAAAAATATAATTTTTTGTGGGACAAAGCCTTAGAGCTAGAAATACAATTTTTTTGGGACGGAGGTAGTATATCATTTGTACAAAAACATTTAGGCTGTGTTCAAGCGCAGGAGAAAGAGAGAAAGATTGTTTCCTTTTCCACGCGCACGCTTCCCGAACTACTAAACGGTGTGTTTTTTGTAAAAAAATTTCTATAGGAAAGTTGCTTTAAAAAATCATCCATTTTTGAAGTTTAAAATAGTTAATACTCGATTAATCATTTGCTAATGGCTCACCTCGTTTTACGTATCTTCCTAATCTCCCCAATCCCCTTCTCCTCAAACACACCCTTAATCAACACATATAGTAACTACATCATAATATATCACATTCACATGACTGGAGGGGATAGGAGCGTACTATGTAGCCTTGGGTTGTGAGTTTCAAAGTTCGTGACCTAGATCGTCAATCGATAGGATATGGTTGATGATCTACATCATATGGTGGGTTGGACTTGGATAGGTTGGATGAAATTACCCATATCGAGCAAACTGAGTGGTTACATAGATTATAAATTTTGGATAATCCGCTTAAAGTACCGGATAATCTGCTAGATATTACCGATACCATATTTTAATTCACATCCACACATCACTATCTACAACCGCATCCATATACACCGGATAGCTAGAAACCCTTACCATATCCATGGCCTCACTTCATACGGATTCGAAAAGGATGGGACTGGATAATATCCGATCTGTTTGCATCTCTAATCCATTCGTATCAAGTCTGGTACCGACCAATATTAGACCTGATACCGGTCAGTATCAGAAGATATTATGCTATACCATGTGTTTAATCCACTCTTTCTTCTCATTTAATTCACCAATTCATCCTCTTCTCTCCACCACCAAACAATTCCTCCATAGGATTTATCCCCTTCCTCCTCCTTCAAGAAAGCGAAGAACAAGATCGAGAAAAAAATAGTTTGTAATTGGATCTATGAACATGTGGATGGAAGACAACACCTCCACGCGTGGGGATTTTTCCAAAAAAAAAATTCGAGTAGTTGGAACGGGATACCGGTGGATGAACTTCTGGCCGCAAAAAGCTGTAGAGAGTAGAAGATATTTATATATTTGTTGGGTGCCAGAGAGATCTTCCGGTGGTTATATATATGAGACGCAGATTGAAGGCGGTTAATCTCTTTGATCTAACCATATGTAACTTTTGGGGGAATTGGGGTATATAACGAGTGCTCCTAACTTCGTCTTTCTCTGGGATTAATTTGCTTAGTTTAATTGTGTAACTTTCGGGTAATTAGCAAGAAAGAGATATCTCGCCTTTCTATGAGGGCTTTGGAAACTTTGGGACTTTTGGACGATCACTGGAGATTTCTCCACCGAAAAAAAAAAGTCTAACTGCTCGATCGATCGCTCGCCCGGTTGCTGTCATGCAAATTGCCTGCCAATGTGGAGATCGCAGTGACGGAATCGTATGCAAGTATACATACCATATAGGCATAGCTAATTAAGACACTTGTTGCGAGCTTGACGAGACCGACCACATCGTATGATGGCGGAGCAGACTGGATCGGTATATTTTGATATTGACGAAGTCACCATGAGCGTCTCGCTCAAGGAGACCGATCGACCACAATCCGAACATCTAACTGTATCGCATGGCAACGGAGCAAACTGGGTCGGTATATCTTGAGATTGACAAAGGCATCACGAGCGCTAATTAAGACACTTGTCGCGAGCTCGACGAGACCGACCGCACTGTATGGCGGTGGAGCAGACTGGGTCGGTATATCTTGAGATTGACGAAGTCATCATGAGCACCTCATTATTGACGGGTACGGCATCTATATATCAAATTAAAGAATAATTAGTTATAAAATTGAGCCCATGTCAAATCTAAGATTTAAACCCGAGTGGGCTAGCTGGTTCTATTACAAAACTAACCAGTTGAGTTACGCTCACCTCGCAACTTGTTGTTTTATTTTAACTAGCAGGATAACACCCATGTATTTGCGCGGTTAGATTTCTATGATATTTTATTTTACTAAATGATATAAATATTTAATTTAATTTTTTTATTGAAAATAACTTGAAATAATAAATAAGCTGAGTAATGTAATTGAAAGTATTAACTTTGATCCCTGAAGCAGTTGATCAAGACGGTTGAAACGACGTAGAGATGTGATTACTATCCGTTTATTCACTACTTCCCCCGTTTCATATTATAAGACTTTCTAGCATTGTACGTATTCATATATATATATATATATATATATATATATATATATATATATATATATATATATATATATATATATATATATATATATATTAATAAATCTAGACATATATGTGTATAGATTCATTAACATCTATATGAATGAATGTGGATAGTGCTAAAAAGTTTTATAATATGAAACGGAGGGAGTACAGTAGAACTTTGCAGTTCACGTAATTAGCCATCTCTTCCTCTCTCAAAAAAAAAAAAAGCCTTCTCTTCAACGTGAGCCGGCAATGAAGCAATGGTGAACTGACCACAAATATAATTAATCGAGCCGAGCTACATTTCCAAATACTACAATAAGTTCCATGTCCTTTCATCACTCTGGTTAACTATCTATTGTCACTTTGTTTGTCAGTAATACTCTTCCACACACATCATACACACTCTAAACACTCCGGTTCATCCGGTTGCGAATCCTCCTGATGAACATATCTGCAGCCTGATCGATCTCATCGTCTATGTTGAACTCCAGCCCTTCGTCCTCCCGGTTGCTCCTGATTACATCGATGACCGATGGCTCATCATCGCCATCGTCAAATGCACCGAATAGAACACCATGGACATCATCATCATCATCATCATCACCACAATCATCTTGATCATCACTGTAACATGCGTCATCATCGTTGAAGAGCGAGTGAGTCCAGTGATCAGTACTGTAGCCATGATGATCCTCTTGATCGAACATTGCCAGTTCAGAGAGATGGCGATCATGGTCGGTGATCACCATCTCATCATGGACTACAACCTTTCGCAGCGCATGTTGGTTCTTGTTCTTGTTCTTGTTCTTGATGTAGTAGTCCACCCTGGCCTTCTCCTTCTCCACCATCAGAGCATGGATCCGGTGCGACATGGCGCCGATCATGGCCATCCTGCGGCGGAGGGAGGCGACGATGAGGAGCCTGGCCCTGACGGTGCTGGCCTTGCTCCTCACGATCGTCGCCGCCTTCTTCAGAAGCTCCGGAGCCTTGCCAATTTTCATCTTTGAGGTTGAAGGCAAGGAAGAAGAAGAAGAGGAGGAAGAAGAGATGGATCTGTCAAGAACAGCAGCTAAGTATCTGTAGTGATTCAGGCTTGGCATGAGTAGTAAGCAGATTAATTCAGAGATGATTAGTAGCTAAGCTAGCTAGTAGAGAGGTCTAGGTTGCAGTGGCATGGGCTTTGAGCTGAAGCCCCAGGGGTGTATTTATAGCCAAGAACTGACCATGCAAATGTGCAGCTTTGTTCATGTCAAGATCAAGCTTTTTTGGTACAGCCCAAATGAAAGCATGATAGAAACAGTATGAGAAAAAAATAAGAGAATTAATTGGCATGTGGAGCAACCGCCATAGGATCAAATGTTGAGAGTGGAAGCAAGCTAAAGAGGGTGGTGGCCTATGTGATGAAAAGCTTGCAAAAAGTAGGAGAAAATATATGGAGAAAGTACTCCAATTCCAATTAGGTAATAAAGGGCAACCCTCCCAGGTTAGAGATTGGAGCCTTGTGATCCCAATATCCCTGTTAATTACTGTGTGTGAGTGTGTGCTTATAGTTAGTAGCTGATGATGGCTGCTTCCACCATTAATTAAACAAAATTAACGCAAAGCTAACCAAAAGGGGACCTTTAATTTCTTGGCTGTTTCCGTTGTGAATCACGCTGGGAAAAAGAAAAAATTCAGAGTTGCTGCACGAGCCAATCCTGCGTGCGTTCACATAAGTTGCAGAATTTCAGTGCGATGGCTTAGCTTTCTCCTGTTTGCTTTGCAAGTTGGAATTAGCAACAGTTTTATATAATAAATGTGTGTAGGCTGCAGCTCCTCTCTGATCACTCTTCTGTGCGCTTTCGCTGTTCGTCAACACGCATAGATGGCTAAGCTTTCGCCTTTAATCCGCGGCATGGACGAGCTAGCTTAGCTACTCGTTTTGCTTGATTAATTATTTTTCGTTTTTTTTTTCTTCTTCTTTTTTCGTTGCCGTTGCAATTGCGGCTTGAATTATATTGTGGACTGAGCACGTGCTCCGCGTGCACGTGCTATTATTATCAAGTGTGAGAACTGACAAGCTTAACACGCCGGGCTAACTTTTGGAGATTTTGTCAGTGTGTGTGATCGATGATACTATTACGTTGGCAGGTGACATGGCTGCGAAAAGATGGGCATGTTCACTTTGATAAAAAAAAACCTTACTAAATTTTAGCATTGCAAAAATTTTAGCAGGATTTCTTATATAATTACCAAAATATGGCAGTAAATTAAATATAGCTATTTTTTTGGGTAACTTTACTAAAATTTGATAAGATTGAAAATGGCATTAAAGTGAACAGGCCCAGATATTCGTGATTTCTAGACGAAAAGAAGTATAACTAACTTTGGGGGTAACAAGTGCTCCTAATTTCGCTTTTCCTTGGGCTTAATTTAGTTTAGATCGTGTAGCTTTCGGGTAATTAGCAAGAACGAGATATTTCGCCTTTCTCGGGGGGGGGGGGGGGGGGGGGGGGGCGGGGGATGCTTTGGCTTTTGGACCTTGTTGGTCGATCACCGAAGATCGTTCTCCACCGAGAAATCTCACTGCTGGATCTCTCGCTTGCCCGGTTGCTGTCATGCAAATTTGCCACCGTGCAGTAGTTTGGCAGTGACGGAATCGTTTGCAAGTATACGCACCATGGACAAGACACATGTCACGAGCTCAAGGAAAAAAAAATAAAAAAAATTGTTTTTGTTGAGAGTGGGATTTGAACCCACGCCCTTTCGGACCAGAACCTTAATCTGGCGCCTTAGACCAACTCGGCCATCTCAACTTCCTTGGCTCGATTAAGTAAATTCCAGTCGTGTCATCATATTGTGATATCTGTTTCTTTTGCTTTTGCCTTTCTGTTTATACTTTGTACAGGTAGCAAATTGAGTGAAGGCATAAACTATTCTTACGCTTGTATATTTTCACTGAATCAGAGAGGAAAACAATTACAGGAAACTATTCTTCTGTTTTGCTTTCCTCAGGTACCCAAATTTTGCCTACAATTAAATGGGATATGCATCCATCAAGTGACTAACTGCACATTTTTACACATCACTTTACATTTTTACACTTGGTCCAGTTAACCTGTCCTCAGAAAGGGTGGTAGTCCATGTCGCGAAGATCGGTGTTGGCTGTGAGCGCCATCAGGGCAACGACGACGGATCTCATGGTAGGCCTCATCCCGGGCTCCTCATGCGTGCAGGACTTTGCAAGGGACGCAATCTGGTTCAGAAATCAATCAAACCATAGCACATGTCAATGCAAATCATGTTGGATTTGCTGGAGAAGCAAACGGAAGCTGACGAACTGACTTCCCTGCTACTAACCTTGAGAGCCGAGTCGACGGGGTAGTCCCCTTGCAGGCTCGGATCAATCAGTTCGTCAAGAGCTTCCGTGGGGTTTGGAGCGCTGAGGGCCTCCTCAAACTGTGGAAGATACAATCAACAATAAGATCCTGGTTTCAATCCAGTTCATACAGTTGCGAGTACACATAAATCTTCCATAACTTTGAGAATTTCTGCACGTCAGCGTTTCATACATGGTAGTAACTAGTATGGGTGTTACAATTCCATGGATAGTTCAAATCCTACAAATGCACTTATGTTATGATGGTTCAGGCAAGATTTCTGGCAAAATGAGGCAATCCTTGATTCTGCTGACCATTAGAATTTCATCACCACTCAGACAAATTTAGACGGAAAAATAGGTTTGGAGCACAGATCAACAGGAGAGATTAGCAAGCTTATTCACAACATTTGGTAATGAATCAAATCGGCGTAGTTACATACACTGATAACGAAATTACTTTTCTATTGGAAGAAGGATGGTAAATTTATTGATCTGAGTATTTAATTGTAGCACATGGCATGAATTCTGGTTAACATTTACAAGTGACAACAGGAAAAACAGCAATTTGATAGCAGGAAAAATATTACCAGGAAAACCAGTCCTTTTGATTCGCTAACAGATTCACTTGATCTCACAATAGCTTGTTTGGCTGAAAGAAGTTCATAAAGGACGACACCAAAAGCATAGACATCCACCTTAGGAGAAACCTCACCATATCGAGCTCTGAAAAATATTGTCAGAATTTTCCAACACAAGGAGCTATAAGTGATCACTCTATTTGCAAAAATCAAGGAAGAGTCAGCAATGTGGACCCTTAAACACAAGGAGCTCATAATTAATTTCTATACTTTTTTTAGCCAGTTCGTTCAAAAAAAAAAAAGGGAAGTAAACCATATACAACTTTGGTGCTAAACTGTACTAGTTGCAAATAGGTATCAGTATAGCAGATAGTGCTATAAGCCTATAAATGATATATGATGTATGGCCTATTATATGCGTCAGTTAGTACACAGAAAAAAATAAAGAGAGACTACAAGCACTTACTCTGGAGGCATGTAACCAAATGTACCAGCAACTCGTGTTGACAGTGACTGCGACATACTTCCAACTTCTGTAAGTTTTGCTAGTCCAAAATCAGCAATCTGCATGGTAAAAACTTTATGGGGGTGTGGAGGAAACAGCAACAAACATCGCTAAAATGTGTCCCTATATATTGCAGGTGTGGTCAAAGCTCAGAGATTCCCTAAACATGCCAGCTATACAACATCAAGAACCAATGAGGTGTTAAACAGCCCCCAGATTTGTCCAAAGGGGAGACTGGCATGGTTTCAACAGGTTGGTGATCCAGCCTAGTTGGAAGATATGGAAAGCTCAGAACTGAAGAATTTTCCAAGGAGAAAAAAATTAACTTAGAGGAGATCATTCTTTTAATCATAGAGGAGAAACACCCTTGTTTTAGTTTTTCTTAAATAAAAGATAAGTAGTTCTTCCTACATATATTCTCAGGATAACAACAAACTTGCGTTTCTGTATTTCATGCATCTCCTATAAATGAAAGAGGTGATGCCCTTCACCCTTTCTTCAAACAAGAAATTGAGTATTGAAGATAAGAGGCCAACATAGAGTTTCATGAACAATTCTAACCTTTGCCCGGAAGTCCTTGTCTAATAGGATATTTGCAGACTTGATATCCCTATGAACATATACTGGAACAACATGTTCATGAAGGTACTCAAGACCACGTGCTGAGTCTAGGGCAATTTGCACTCTGGTAGCCCATGAGAGAGGCGCATAACCTATAGACAAATGCACGTGCTGAATAATTCACAGAAATCATTAGGATATAATCTCATTGTACTTAGAGTGCATTCAAACAAACAATTACCAGTCCTTTGGAGATGCTGACTTAGGTTTCCATTGTCAATAAATTCATAGACAAGAAATAAGCAATTCTCAACACAATAACCAATCAGGCGCACCTGCATGACGAACAATTAGGCGATATCAAAGTACACCCAGAGACTCGAGTACAGAGACTCGAGAGTACTATTCCAACATGAAAAATATGATGCCGTGCCCTATTGAAAGGTATTATGGTCTTTACTAAACTCTAATCAAAGTTTATCTTCTCGTTCTGTAAGTAAGCATAGCAAAATGTAAAGTTCAGTTGGTAGTTGAGATTATTTCTGTTATATTATTACAGAAAATCATAAGACCACCCACCAGATTCAAGTGGTGAACATGTGTCAAGACCTTCAGTTCAGCAAGGAATTCTTGAGTTGCTTGCATGCCCATTTTCTTTATGGCAGTTTTCTGAAGGCAGCAGAGAAGTCATTTCAAATTGATAGAAGAATGCACATCAAAATGTTGTGTCCTCCTTATTGATTTATGTGTGAATGCACTCTGATAGGTTGTCCATGATGAGAAAAATGTTGAACCAACCTCGCCTCTAAGCTCAGCATAATACACTGAACCAAAACCACCTTGCCCAATTTTATGTTCCATAGAAAATCCCTGTGTTGCATTAAAAATCTCTTCATATGAGAATTCTATGGATCTCTCAACCTTAATGCCTTCAGCTTGGGAAGCATCATCTGTAATTGACAAGGCATATTAATTTTGAGTTGTAGCATTTGCAGAGAAATCATACAGTTTGTACAATGATAAAAAGAAGACTAGCTAAGCTACTTACCACACAAATAATAGCAGCTGATATACCAAAATCACAACAGAAGCACTTTACAAAGCATGTAATATGTTCAACAGTTTGGCATAGTTGATCTAGAGGAGTGTTACAGCCAAGAAAGGAGGTTTATCATTACCAAGGTGGCTGGTTTCTTCTGGAGATGGACGCGATGTGGCCTTCCTGAACTTTTGCCACCTATAGAACATGATAATCAACCATATGGCCACAATGAAAATAGCAATGCAAGCTATCACAATTCCTGCTATCGCTCCTCCAGAAAGGCTATTCCCCATTCCACCTAGAAGAATGTGAGTTGAACATCAGTGTTTCATGACAATACCCACTTTAGTTCTTGATAACCTTAGCATAGATACACAAGAGCTCACAGAAGAGAAGAACAATGCCTACACTGCACAAGAAATACATATCAGAAAATAATAAAGGAAATCACAGTTGTAATTTCACCTGACAGTCGAAGAATGCTTACCCTGATTTCAGAGGGTGGTAACTTCCATTTGGATCTGGAAATAAATAACAGAGTAAAGGATGTTAGCATATATAGAATTATAGATTGACACCTAGAAGATTAATTGTTGACAACAGCTGTTTTTTAAGAGAAGAGATTAAGCAAATGACAGTGGTGAGCTTTTCTGAAGAATGATTGCAGTTAGTTGTGTTAATTATCTGGTTATGCTAACTAACTAATTATCAAGTATCAGTAAAAAAAAGGGTGGCAATTCGACTTGCATGATACTCTCTCCGGTACCATTGTACCAACTATGTAGCATAGACATGAGTTCATGATGCCTCAAACAACCATGATGCAGGATCAAATAGATTACCACTCCCGAAACATGAAAACTACTGCATACCATGGCACAAAGTCGATCTGTGTATGTGAAATAGCATACGACAGGGGTTAAACTTTGTATAACCAAAACTCAGTTACTGCATTGCTTTAAATCAATCACAAATACAACCAAGCAAAATTGGACAGCAGAGCAAAAAAGAAGAAGCACATAGCTCAGAAGTTCCAATCATTGATAAATATGCTAAGAACATTCAAGCAGTAACCAAACTTCCTTTCACAAACTACCTGCAAAAACCACTGTAATCCAAACCGCACTTCACATTTCACATTTTTCACATGCTCAATTATCATCCAAAACCTCTCGCAACTCACAGTTACAAGCTAAAACAGTCAAAATCAAACTGAGAAACCAGTAGCACTCACCTTTCACCGGGATGAACACAATCCCCTTCCCGGAGACCCCTCCCATCCCGGGGTTGTACCTCCTGATCAGCTCCATCTCCGCCGGCGACGAGAACCCGTACTGCGCGGCCACCGATTCGAGCGTCTCCCCGTCCCAGAGCGGGTAGGTGAGGAACAGCCCGTACCGCGGCGAGACCCTCTCGTCGCCGCATGAGCAGTTGATGGTGACGTTGACCCTCCCATCGCCGCCGGGGATCCTCCCCGGCGGGTACGCGTTGGTGGCCTCCAGCCACGCGGCGGTGGTGAGGTCGGCGTAGTTGGCGGCGACGGCGTCGTAGGTGTCGCCGCCGCCGCGGGGGAGGGGGAGCGGGTAGGGGATGGCGCCTGCGAGGAAGGTGGAGGCGGGCGCGGCGGGGAGCCCGAGGCAGGAGCAGGGGAAGGGAACGAGCACGCGGTCGCCGGTGACGACGTAGTCCGGGTTGGTGATGGCCGGGTTGTAGGGGAGCAGCGCTTGGTAGCCGCCGCCGCCGATGGCGAAGATGGTGGCGATGAAGGTGAGGTTTGAACCCTCGGAGAAGTAGTAGGCGGCGATGGCCAGCGAGCAGCCGGCGCGGCAACCGTCGCCGGACGCCGCAACCGCCGCCGCCGCGAAGGCACAGGCGCCGATGAGGAGGGCGGGGAGAGAGAACATGAGGCCTACAATAAATAAATTTCACATGTAAGTTGAATATTCTAGTTGTTTCACTTTTGAACTACCCATTGATTCATGTTTGAATCAGGAAATCTTACATTTTGTTTTGTTTCACTGTAGACCACTTAACTCTCTTCTCAAACATACAAACGGTTGTTGATAACATTGGTTTTTACCTATCGATAACTAGTGCGTATGGATAAAATAGTTGAGAGCGTTAAAGTGTCCCAGCTGTAAATTTATCCGATTTTAAAATGAAAATGTTTGTTAGAAGTTGGCCTAGAGTGAATCTTACTTAAAAAGGGGTTTACAGTCAAATCAACAGCTACAAATGAAACAAATTAGCCAGAAATCATTTTATGGTTCTCGTATATCATATGATTTTGAGCAGTGAATCACATGGATTTACATTGAATGGACGCATCCGAGTAGACTATGCCAGCATCAGCTACTGGACCAGTGAACAGTACGACTCGGACACTAATTCACCTCAACATCATGCGACTACTACTACGCTAGTTCGGCATGATTCATGAACTAACTCAACCTCAACAGCATCAACTAACAACACAAATTCTCGGAGTGGCATATTGGGTCGTCGGTCACCGGTGGAGCTTCGCGGGTAGACCCTTCTATTCGGTCCACCACCTCACCGTCTTCTACCACGGCGCGAGGCGACAACTCGGGACGAGGCATCTCCCCAACGCGGCTTCTCGTCCATACCTCACTAAAAAGCTGATGAAACTATGATACCCTCTGCTGAGGGTCGCGACGCTTTGAAAGGTACGATCCTGACAAAGCTAGCGCGAATAGTCCTCTCGGAAGGGGTGAGATGACGGGCGTTGGTCATGAGTCATGACATTAGGGCATGCCCAATGTTTATGACTGAGTTCGGTAGTAACGTGGGTCCGCACGCCAGGCGGTAGTAGCAGGATACTAACGCCACATTGTTTGTGCAGGATGGTAGGGTATAACGTGGGGCTCACTCTAAAAACTCACCAATCCTCAGTTGTTGTACCTCCTTCCCGCAAGAAAACAATTCGTTGATGCTCATTAGCGTTGTACAAATAACATAACTTATTCCTTGTTGCCCGGTAGTAGCCATATGACTGAGTAGTAGTTATTCATCGCTCTCACAAAGTGGCGTAGCTAGGATTTAAAGAAAATATGGTCCATCTATATGTAATGGGCCAATTAAATAGGTGGTCCAATATACAATTTTTATTATATTAACTAGCACATATACTATAGTTTTAATCTCAATCAAATTTTTATGTGGTCCATGGACCACAATGCCACCTAGCTAACTACGCCACTGACTCACAATGTTTATGGTAGGTAACAAGAGAAAATTTAATGCTTACTACCTAGTATTTTATCATATTGTGGATGCCCTTATAAGAGCATCTCCAAGAGACTAGCTAAATGGCTCTCCAAGCCAAAATTTGGCTAACTTGAACAAAAAAATCTACTCCAATAGACTAGCTAAATGACTCTCCAAGCCATTCGAGTGGCTAAATTCCCCACCTCACTAGCCAAAGTTGTCCAGCCAGGACGGCTGGCCATCTGGTGTAGGTCCCACCCCTCTCTCTCTCTCTCCCCCTTTCCCTATCCCATCCCGGCTACCTTCTTGCCCGCCGCCTATTCCGCCCAGTGCCACCGCCGTCGTCCTCCCGGCGCCGCCGCTGCCGTCTTCCCGGTGCCGTCGTTCTCCCGGCACCACCCCCGCCGTCGTCCTTCCGGCTCCGCCGCACTTCGTCTTCCCCTCGACCATTCGGGATCTGGAGCGGGGCGGCGACGGCAACGGCGACGACGACGACGAGCCGGCCCTGCCGTCGCCATCCGCGCACTCCGCGCCGCCGACCTCGAGGTGATGGCGGTGGGCTGGGGTCGGGGGAAGGGGAGGTAGCCGCCGCCCGCGCCTACGAGGGACGCCGCCGCGACTCCGATGAGACCGCTGCCGCGCCTACAAGGGACGCCGCCGCGACTCCGACGAGAGGCTGCCGCCCGCGCCTACGAGGGACGCCGCCGCGACTACGCCGAGGCCGCCGCCCGCACCTGCGACGCCGCCACGACTCCGCGGAGGCCGCCGCCCGCGCGTACGTCGCCGCCATGACTCCGCCGCCCGCGCCTACGAGGGACGCCACCGCGACTCCGCCGAGGCCGCCGCCCGCGCCTACGACGCCGCCACGACTTCGCCGGCGTCGCCCCTTCGCCGGCGGTGCCCCCTGCCGGCTTTTCCCTCCTCGTGGCCTGCCATCGGTGATGTAGTTGGGAGGAAAGTGGAGGAGGAAGGAGTGAGAGACTGACATACGGGTCCCAGTGTCATACACTTAAAATAGAGAGGGTGGATGGAGACGCTGTTGGAGTGAGCAACAGGTTTAACTTGCTAAATCAATTGAAGAGTTGGCTATATAGGTATTTGAAGAGTGTGATTTGGGTAGACTGTTGGAGATGCTCAGAACGCGAAGAAACCGAGGGTAGCAGAGATTATTTTGTTGGGCCGTAACGGTTTGGCCCGCGAACGCGAATTCAATCCTTATCGCTTAAGTTGATCCAACGGTTAGAAATAAGCGGACCCACTTGTCAGTAGGAAGTTCAGATAGACGAGGTGGACCCACCCATCTCCTTCCAGAATCCGAGAGGTCCCCACTTCGCCGTGATCCTCTCCAATCCACCGGCGACTCCGACGAGCTGGTAGCATTAGCGCCTCGACTTTGAGCCGCCGTCGGCCTCCGCTCCGGTGGGTCACGGGGCCGCATGGATGGAGTAATCGAGCCCAGAGAAGCGGGTCGTCGGCGTCATCCCCCGCCATTCCACGACGCGGCGATCTCATCGGCCGCCGCCTGCATCGAGGGAAAGTGGGAAACCCCTCAACGGGCACCCTGGATGGCTGCTGCGGCGGCGTAGGGCGCGGCCGCCATCGACGCATGCATCCGGTCGGAGAGGAACCTGGCTGGCGTCCCCGCCCCGCCGCCCGCCGCCGCCGCAGCACCCGCCTCCAGCGACACACACACCGCCGCGGGGCGCTCCGCTCGTCTCACCCACCCGGCGCAGAGCGGCGCCGCGAGGGGCGAGAGCGAGCGCGCGCTACCCGCGTGCACGCGGCGGCGGTCGCAGGCCGCAGAACCTCGCGGCGTCCGCCCGCGTCATTCTCCGGTTCTCCCCTACGGTCGGCAAGCTCGACGCGGGTTTCCATGGAGCCCGCCCAGGTGCTCGCGAATCGCCATGGTCTCCATGGAGCTTGGCGCTGGAGACTCAGATATTCAACCGCGAATTCAGGAATCCTAATTCCGATTTCTCCCTAAATTGGGAGGCCCATTGCTGAGAAATAATCTCGCTCGGCGGCGCCTATGTGGTCTCTCTCCCTCGTTTTCCTTCACAAGATACAGATTCCGAGAGCAAATAAGTAGGAGACTAAAACGGAAGTCGACGCCGGTTTCCTCGATTCGTGGACGGACGAGCAATCGTGGGTTCGTGGTCATGGGATTGGGGTATGTGCTGCTGAAGCGCTTGCAGCGAGAGCGTCGTCGTCGTCGTCGTAGTCGACATGCCCTAGTTCCCGGTAAGTCGCCTTTTCCTGTCTCAGCTTGTCTGCTCTGCTATTCATGTGAGGATGCAATGAGTTCTGCCATTCATGTGACAATGCAAATTATTCATGCCGGCCTCATTGTTATGCTTATGCTTATAAGCCAAAAATTGAATTTAGGACTTAATTTTAATGTTGATTTTTTTTTCATCTTAGTTTATTTGACAACATTTGCTTTTGAGTTGCTAAGGACACGAATATAAAAGTTTTATTCACAAATGATTTTTTATTTGCTAATAAGCGATTCGGATAAGCATATGAATAAGCTAAACAATGGGGTTTCTCATCTATTGCTTGCTCAGAGAATGTACTTCAGCATTGTGCAGCAAGACTCGGATTTCGATTTTGTAGTTTCCTCTCTCTTTTGCGAGTAGGTGAAACTGATTCGTTTAGATTGTTAGTTCAATTGTTAGTTTCAATCCGTATGATCTTTTTGCAAGTACCTCTTTATGTTTGAGATTCCTTTAGATTGTTAGTTTCGACCATATGATCTTTTTGCGAATACATTTTTATGTTTGAGCAGGTAAGTTCTCCGGTTGAGCACATGAGCTCCCGTTTACCCCCAGTCTGCATCTGTTCATAAAAGAGATTGTAATTAAGAAGACCAAATAATGATGCTTATCTACTAAAGGTTTTGAGAGTAGGAATCAGCATCCACTCAAACACTAGACCAAGCATGTATTGTTTGCATCATAATGCTTAATTTCTTGTTTCTCCTGTTGACGCATGTACTATATTCTTAACCTTTAGTTGTTGCAGATGAGTCTATTGCCTCACCAGAGAAACGAAAGGGCTCATGTTATCAACAAGATGACAGTCCTCGCAGTGGCAAAAAGATGAGATATTCAGGTCCATACCTTCCTGAGGTATGACACACAGTCCTGGTAGTGGAAGACTAACAGAGTTACAGTGCAAATAGTGCGTAAAAGTTGGTGTAACTATTCCAACTAAAACAGAAATTTGCGTACATATTTCACTTTGTTTATTTTTGTACTCGTCATAGACTCATAGATGTACCAAGTATGTCTTGTTCGACTGCGGTAATTGCAGATGACATCATGCTTACCTGCTGATAACCTTGACTAAAACAAATGTCTTGTATCTGGCCCATTCTACCTGCAGAATCTCCTTCCATGGGTACTTAATGCTGGAAAATAAACCTATCATTATATTGTCACCAAATAGTAACTTGTTTGGAATAGGGGTATGACCGTATGATTTAAATCAGAGTCATGGGAAGCACACAAATTCAGACTGCTGTATTACACTGGTTTGTTTTGGTATCTTAGGATAACTATTACACTGTTGAACTTTATGGAAAAACGTATCAGTGCTTCCTCCGCACATGTTTACTTGGTTCACACTTTCTATTAGAACATTGATTTCATGTTATCCTTCCTAATTCTTATACAAGTGGTGGATAGGATTGATCCACATATTATTTTAGGACCACAATCATTTGTCAAGTATGTTGCCTAAGTCATGTTGCAACTTGCAATCAGGGGAGGAAACAGGGGGAGGCGAGCAGTGGCTTGGCCTCCCCCATGCATTCAAATTTCACAGTATTTTTTACTGTAGCTTTAGCAAATTTTGAAAAAAATTAACACTATTGGCCCCCTCCAACATAATGTTTTTAAGGTTTTTGGCTGTGTCTTGCAATACCATCCATAGCAGTAAAATGTATACAAGCTAGTAATAACTAATAGCCCTTCTCTACACAATGCTCAATTTAACTACCGCAGTTACAATCCAGTTGTTTTAGCCTTCAAGTTTCCAATGTAATGGTTCACTCATGCTTGTGCATGCAGGAAATGTGGCAGCATATACATTCCCTTATGCCAATGAAAGACGCTGCCCGTGCTGCCTGCTTGTCTTCTGCCTTTCTATACTCATGGAGAAACCGTCCCAAACTCTCCTTTAGTACTGAAACGATGGGTATCGTTGAAGGTACAACGGATTTCATCAGAAAAATTGATCGCGTTATGGAAAAACACTCAGGCATTGGTGTGAAGGCTCTTACGATTGAGTTCAATGGTCTCTTCAGTACCAAAGCACGCAGTTACCTCGAAAGATGGCTTCAAATTGCTGTTACACCAAGGATCGAAGAGCTCAGCCTCTCGATGTCCAAGGGAAAAGCATATTATGACTTTCCTTGCTCACTTCTATCTGATGGGAGTGGAAGCTCGATTCGGCTTCTTGATCTTTACTGCTGTACCTTTCACCCCACTGCGGAGATTGGTTGCTTTCAAAGCTTGACGAGGCTGCATCTGGAGTATGTGAGAATCACGGGGGATGAATTGGGGTGCGTTTTTTCCGCTTCGTTTGCTTTGGAGTGGTTGAAACTCCGGCTTTGCCGTCATATAAAATACATGAAGTTGCCTTGTGTGCTACAGCGGCTGACCTATGTGGAAGTGCGTGGATGCTCCAGGCTGCGAGTAATAGAGAACAAAGCTCCAAACCTTCACAGTTTGCACATTTTTTATCAAGCTTATCACCCTATACAACTCTCCTTTGGAGAGTCATCTCTGGTGAAGAACCTAAGTATTGGGTATTCCTCTGTTCTCAATCATGCTTGCGCGGAGCTACCATATATTTTTCCAAACCTCGAAACTCTTACCATACGCTCATTGGGTGAGGTATGCTTTCTCGGTGGCTCTTAAACTTTTTTTTTATATTTATGTTCACACATTTGAACATGGTATTTAGTCAATCTGAAGCATCTTTCTGCAGATGGTCAGTACACCAATGGTGCCTAACACATTCCTCCATCTCAAGTACTTGTGTATTACTCTTTCTGCAGTAACTCTCTCTCCATCATATGATTATTTGTCTCTGGTTTCCTTTCTCGATGCCTGCCCTTCCTTGGACACTTTCATCGTGGATGTAAGCCACACCTTCACCCTGTAAACTTGTCTAGTTACTACTTTCTGGAACCAATTAATTCAACTATAATGGACTTGTCATTTTCAGGTATCCGCAAAACACCCAGAGAACGATTCAATTTTCGAGAACCCCTCACATCTAAGGCAGTTGCCAGAGCAACGCCATGACAACCTCCGGAATGTGAAGATCACTGGATTCCGCTCCGTGAAGAGCTTGTTGGAGCTAACATATCATATCCTCGAGAATACATCAGTCGAATGTCTTACATTGGACACCAGTTTTGAGTCTTTCAGATGTTCTCCCGGCAAACTTGGTAGATGCTCGCGAATGCCAAAGGATGATCTCATGGAAGCCTCTAAAGCACTCTTCGCTATCAGAACATACATCGAGGGAAAAGTTCCCTCCACGGTTAGACTAAATGTGGTTGAGCCTTGCAGCCGTTGCCATGTTATGGAACCTTTTACTGTCGAAACTCGAAAGTAACAGCGGAAATGAAATGCAGTAACACAACACTCATGTTTTTCTTTGCGTGCATCATGTAGTAACTGCGTTTCTCTGTGCACTGTACTACTGTATGTGCATGTTGGAGTGCTGAACTTGCCCCTTGTCACCAGGATGCAGAATAATAGTTGCCTCGTTCATCATAATCATTCATCGAATGCTTTTGTGTAAATCCAGGTGGCTTCTATATTGTCTCTTTAGATTTATACACACCGTTTTTAGCTGCGTACTTTCAAGAATTATGTTATACTAGGATAGAGTGACAGGCTGCTCTTTTTATTGGAAACTCTGTCTAGTATTTGCCTCTGTAATAGTATTACATGGAATGAGATCAAAGTTGCATATACATCTGCCAACTGTTTTGCCGTCAAAATAGAATGACAGTAGTCTAGCCGTAAAAAATGAATCAGCCTGAGCTCAAGAAAAAGAATCACAAGTTGAAACCGAGCATTGCTGAGAGAGAACCAGCAGTACTCTCAGCAGTACTGAAGGCCTTCAATATCACAGTTGAGTTTGGCACAGCTCTAGCTCCCAACTCCAACATACCTAGAGCTGGAGTTGTGCCAAACGGTATAAACTCTCTATTTTCTGGAGCAGAGTTAGCAGAGTTGCTCTGCAAAATTGTACCACGGGGGTGGAGCTAGGTTCTTGCTGCTCCACAGTTCTACTATATTCCTGCCAAAAGACCCACTACCCTTTAATTTGTTAATGTATTTACACAAAAATACCATTAAACTACCCCCTTCACACCCCCTCTCCTCCCATTCTCTCTCCTCAGTCCTCCCCATCTTCCTCCGGTAGCGACTGGCGGCCTGGCTGCTGCGGCGGTGGCGGGCGGCGTCAGCGGCGGCGGGCAGGTGGCGCGGCTGCGGATGGCACGCGAGTGTATCAGGATGATGGGTGACAGCGCATGGATTGGACGGCATCGACGGCAGTGGCAATTGGTGGCGGGTGGGTGGCGCGGCTGCAGCGCACGGGGTGATCACCAGCGGCACATGGGCGGACCGGTGGCGACGGCGGCAGCGGCGGCAACGGCAAGGCGATGCCAACCAAGTGTTTGACGAAATGGCGACAAGGGATGTGATGGTGTGGAGCTAACCAGTCTAGCCAAACACTTTCACACCCACCTCAGCTACTATAAGAGCTATCTCCCATTAGAGTTGGAGTTTGAAGCTCTACCAAACAGGGCCTATAGTGGATCGATATGATCTGATTGGTAATGCAGAAATTCAGATGAAGGTTGTTTGTAACACATTGCACTGTGCGGTTGTGGCTGATCGAGTTCATGGCAATTCTAGATGAACTGTGAAGGAGGATTTGGGATAAATGTAAATGGCATTTGAGAAAGGTCCAATGGTGAAATTGAAGGTGCACGAGACGTCGAGCTCACCTAGCTGGTACATGTCGCCTCCGCCCGCCGTCGATCACCATGACGGCGAGACATCAAGGCCTCCTCGTTAGTAGGGCTGTCAACAAGCCGAGCTCGAGCAAGTTTGTTTGTCTAGGCTCAAGCTTGAGCTCGAGCCAAACCTAGTCCACCTTTGAGCTTTTAAACAGGCTCGGCTCAAACTCGGTTAGGCTCGCGAGCTTGACCAAGTATACTATATAAGAGGCCGCAGTGGTGCTCAGGATTCACGGATGCCGGCGTGGCACAGCATTGCTGCTCCGAAACGGGATTGGGTCAACTAGGCAGGGGCTCGGGCACCGGAATTCCCCTCTCTATATATATATTTTCATTTTTCAAGCAAGGCGAGAGTTTAATCTCCGAACACTAGCTAGCTTGGATTTAAGCGACGGCAAGGCCCATAGCTCTCTCCTGTCTCCTCCAGTACCACTATCTTCTTTGCCATTGGTGCAAGCATCAAGAATTCATGCCCTTTTTTTAAAAGAAAAAAAGAAAAAAACGAAGTCACCCGTAAGCAGTTTTGAGTTGGGCCTCTACATGCATTCACAAATATATCAAATCTTCAGTCGAGCTTCTGAATCCCAGTCATTTCGGTTGAGCATGCAAATTCAGCCAATCTCCCTGTAACCAACTACACATTGACTGAATTTCTACTTGTCCTGATCGATATGCAAATGAGACTGAACTTCCAAGGGGTTCAGAATTTTATTCTCCGAACCGCTAGGCCAGAAATTTTTTTGATTTCTTTCTTTTCCTAGCGATGATGGTGCAAGGGGATCGGAGATTATACAGCTCTTGCAGCTCACGGCGAGGTCGGCGGCCGCCATTGATCGCCATGGCCGTGAGCTGATGAGACAATGTCTGCCTCTGTAATAATACATGGGCTGTGATTAAAGTTGCACATTATTCATCATTCAATATTTTTTATCAATCTCTCTCTAAATAAATTACTCCTCTATCCCAAAAATAATCAAACTCTAGGTATGAATGTAGACACATATGTATCCAGATTTATCTCTAAAGTTTAATTTTTTTTGGGACGGAGGGAGTATTTGCTATCAACTATTTTGCCAGTTAAACAGAGTGACTTGTGATGTTCCGGACAGAGATCTCGTGCAGTCCGTTCAGGTTGGGCCGGAACGGGCTGGGCGTCCGTGCGGCCCGTTATGTTTGTGCTGGATGGGATTCTTTTTGGGCCAGAACGGGAGGTCTCGTACATGCGGCCCATTCTACAGTCGGACTAAAGTACTTTTTTCTTGAGGAAAAAGTACACCAAAGGTCCCTCAACTTGTCAGCAAGATATAAAAACGTCCTCAAACCGCAAAACCAGATATACGGGGTCCCTTAACTATACAAAACCGGTCACCCAAGGTCCCAACACAGTATTGACGCTGGAATTGTCCCACGTGGCGGCTGAGTCAGCGTGGGACCCACATGTCAGATGCCACATCATCTCTCTCTTTCCCCTCTTCTCTCCCTCCCTCCCTCTCATTGGATTGGCCGGGCCGGTGGATTGACGCCCCCACCGCACACCGCCGCAGAGGCAGACCCCGACAAGCGAGCGAGCGAGACACGGCGGAAGAGCGCGAGGGGGAGACGGCGGTCCGCGGGAGGAGGACATGGCGGCGCGGCGATGCGGGAGCAGGAGGCGTCGGCGCCGTGCAGCGGCGACTCGTGTCGGGCTCATTAGCCGGTGCGGAAGTAGCAGTAGAGGAGGAGCTTTCTCTGGTCCTTGCCGCTGTACCAGCCGACGCCCGACGGTGACGATCTCGGCGCTGACGACGAGAACGTTGAAGAAACACTAGAATCCTACTGATGAATGCATTTAAGATACTACATTAGGGAATTAAACCCCGCTTGTTTCCTGCTACTGAAGTATGAAGAGATTACTTGATCCTTGTTCCTTTTAATATGCCATTCTGAATTCTGAAGCCTTGCTCTTGTTAGATTGGCTGATACCCCATGCATCAAAAGAGGACTAGAATCTCCTTCAGCATGGAAGTCCCCTTGGTTCGTAGATATGCAATTTCAGGTACATTTAGCACTTTGTAAAATTTATGAATTTGAGATGCAGAGCTCAAGTTGTCAAGTGTTCGGAACAAGCATTTAAATTGGTGGACTATGGCTGAATCTAAGCGGATAGAAATATATTTCTAATTTGTTATTATTGAGTCATGCCTGAGAGTATTTTTTTTCATTAATCAATGATATTGTCACGCACTGGGGGCATTGCTTGCTGTTGTTTTCTCTGCTGAACTTTCTTGTGGCCATATGTTCCTCCCAGGGTTCATACTTCGTCAGCCCAGCTGATAGAACCTACAATGCGCTAGGATTTGTGAAGCAGATAAATGTGCAGACTGCTGCTGCTTTGGCAGAAGCCCGTGAGGTGCTGGTAAGTGGCGGACAATCTGAGAACATAAATTCTGGGAAGGAAAACCTGGAGAGTCCAAATGCTAAGAAGGAACCAGGAGCAACAACCAAATTGCAAGCAAAAATCAAGGTGCGTATTGAACTGCTTATTTTCATATTCCCGTGTTGTCGAAACAAAAGGTCTTGCGTTGAAACAAAAGGAGGCCCTGGTTTTATTGTTTGCTGTTTTAGTAGTTCCTCTTGCGTTAATATTCTTAAGCTATATAGCTCTTGCTGTCTCGCAAATCTTGGTTTGTGAGTTCCAAAAGGGTGGCAGTTGTGTGTTTCTGTAATCCATCAACTGTAAATGGTTTTGATCAATTTCCATCCACGTTGAGCATAAATTAACATCATTTACCCATGCCACGTGCAGCGACGGTCATGAACTCCACGCTGCCGTCGTCGAAGCAGCCGATGAGCTTGAAGTGCTCGAGCAGCCCGGCCACCGGAATGCGTGTCCTCCTCCCACGGACCGCCGTCTCCCCCTCGCGCTCTTCCGCCGTGTCTCGCTCGCTCGCTTGTCGGTGGCTCGGCGGCAGCCTGGAAGTCGTCGTCGACGTCGTCGTCCGCGCTCCAGCTCCGCCGACGAGTTTAGGGTGATTCCGCCGATGGTCATCGAGGAGGCCCTCCCCGTGGTGCGACGAGCTGGTGACGTCCGCATCCGCCTCCGCGGCGGTGTGCGGTGGCGGCGTCAATCCACCGGCCCGGCCAATCCAATGAGAGAGAGAGGAAGGGAGAAAAGAGAGATGATGTGGCATCTGGCACATGGGACCCACGCTGACTCAGCCAGCCATGTAGGACAAATCTGGCGTCAATACTGCCCAGGGACCTCGGGTGAACGGTTTTGTATAGTTAAAGGACCCCATATATCTGATTTTACGGTTTAAGGACGTTTTTGTATCTTGCTGATAAGTTGAGGGACCTTCAGTGTACTTTTTCCTTTTCTTGAAAAAACACGAGCCCACTTATAAATGGTCTCGCGAAGGTTAGGACACATCTACCAGTGTCAAAAGAACGCAACCACCGCCTCGTGGTCGCGCGCCGGCCGTGTGCCGGAGTTCCGCTCCCTCTGTCATGGCTGCTGACATGACACTGCCTCCTTCCTCCTCACCGCGTCTTTTCCCTTCCTCCTAGATCCCCTTTCTTCGTGTCTTATCCGTTGTAAAAGACTTATTATAAATTTAATCGATTTATTATGTAGCTGTAACGGCTTATTGGCGATAAAAAAGTAATTTGAGTCTAAATATTTTTATATAATTGTTCTTAGAAATTTAAAAGCTAATAAGGAAGAAAACTACGTTGAAAATATTTTAAAATCAACTTTAAAATTAAGTTTGAAAATTTAAATTTTAGATTTAGCTTTTTCATTTTAGATTGGCAAAGGCTTGCTACCACCTTTGCCAATGGCCGCGACGGAGCACAAGCCGGCCGGTATAGGTGATGGCGGCGTGCTAAGGACGGCGATAGCGACGCCGGCGATACCGAACATTAATCTCATACCCTAACAAGAAAATTCAACATATAGGTGTAATCACACATAACACAACGACTATTTTGCTGTTGCGATCTCGGAGCAGCCTACCACACAGCATAAGAAGCTAGCTATGGAGCTAGAGCCAGGGGAGCTCTCCCCGCCCGCCACCGGCCACTCTGGCCATGGCGACCTCAACAGCCCGCCTCCGGCCGCTCCGGCAGGGGCGTCCAGTCCAGCAGCCACATCCGCTCAGTGTTCCTCTGGCTCCTCTTCGGGTAGCCAGGAGAAGGTCGACTGGGATTTCAGCGACGATGACGAGGTCGTCGAGTCGCCGCCGTCGCCCGCGCGCCAGATGGCCGGCCAGGCGTCCGCTGCCCATGAGGCTACGCCTCTAGCTGCACCCCGGCAGAGCGTAGTTAGTGCCCCATTTACTGCTTCAACCTCAAGGAAGGAAGACAGCGGAGAAGGTGGAAGAAAAGCCATCTCCTCCGCCATTACTCCTGCTTCTGCTCGGTGTCTGTTTCCTGTGGGGGGAAAGCCCAAGGAAGCAAGCAAGACTAAAATCAGCTATTGTTGTTCCGGAGACGAGAAAGTTAAGTGTGTTTAATCGATTGAGTAAAGGCGAACCTGGAGCTCCTTCATCAATCTGGCAAGAGGTGAAACCGAGATTTTGGTGGCGCCAGGGCAGGGCACCTCTTCCGGCCACGGCGTCCAGGCGCCCAACCACCGGAGTAATTCCAGCCTGGCGTCCCTTCAATCCAGCAACTTTAGGCCGTTGCTTGCGTTGCCTCGCTCAAGACCACAAAATTGCAGACTGCAGAGACCCTCCCAGATGCTACATTTGCAAGCGCAGTGGCCACATATCTTCTGGTTGCCCTTCAAAATACAAGAACAAACCCTCAATATTTTCCTGTATCTACTCCACTCATCCAGCACCACCCTCCAAGCAAGAAATCCCCAATCCCCTTGCCTTCCCTCCACTGACTGGCCACAAAGCACCAGTGCGCGAAAGGCTTGGCCCCAAAATGGATTACATACCTGGGTTGCCGGAGAACCATCCTGCTTGTGGTTATGCGGTGGTTGTCGCTGACGCTGCAATGGAGCACGAAGCTATGCGGTTGTACAACCATGGGGCCGTCATCAAGGCCCGGCTGCCCAACTACGACGTCAGCGCCAAGGAGATGGCGCAGGCGTTGCAGCAGCAAGTGGGAACTCCCAACTACGACGTCAGAAGGTGCTCGAAGATGTCTGCATCGTCGACCGTATCGAAGAGGACACCAAGAACAGAGTCAACACTGCTGCCTTCGCCTGCTGGGTGTGGATGCAGAACCCCAATCTCCTTCCTCGGGTGTCGGTCTTCACTCTTTTCCCGGCCGGGGTAGGGCAGGTGCTGGAGACGGGTGGCATGCCCACGCCCAGCCAGGAGGTCGCCTCGGCACCTCTGGGTCGTGTCCGCCATCTGCTCATTCATCTTGACATGGTGGAGGACTGGAGGCCATTGCCGGCGAGGTCCTCAAACTCCAGCGGCTCCACAGACTCCGATGATCCACCGAGGCGGCGCGTGCACCGCTTTGACTGGCATTTGGGCTATGAGGACGGTGTTTCGCCGCCGCCGCTGCAGCCTCCGCAGCCGCCACTGCCTGTACGGAGACTTCACGAGGAGCGCGGGCGACCGGAACAGCGGGGCATTGACTTGCGTAACCGGCTGTCGCAGCGAGGTCAGTAGGGCGGCTGTCGTGTCCCGCTGGCGCCTCGCCTGGAGAGGGAAGAAGACGACGACGAAAACTTTGGCGGCGGCAACGGACGCGCTCTGGTAGGCCGTTCTTGGACTGATGTTCTCTTCCGTCGTGGCCGCTCAAGGGAGCCCCAAGGCGGAAACGACGGCCGGTACCGCAGCCGCACCCCCCGTGGCGGCAATCGCCACTTCGCCGGCCATCGGGTGGGTCGCTCCCCAGCCAGGCGCCCATCCAGGCCGCCTTCTCGCCGCCGGCGCTCTTGCCGGTCGCGCTCGCCAAGCAAGGGGCGTCGTGCGGTCTCGGAGAGTCGCTGTCTTCGCGGGTGCGCTTCCCAAGGTGGCGGAGGAAACGACAACGACAAGACGAGCAGCAGGCTCGCCTCTCCTGCCTCGGGCAGGCCACCCAGCGGCGCAGCGCCAACACCACCAGCGCACTCTTCTGCTGCCCATGCTCCTCTTCTCGTCGATCCCGCCCTCTGCTGCTCTGTCCACGGCCAGGTGGTGGGGGCGACACGGGAGGGGGAGGACCCGATGTTTCTCGAGCTGGCGGTGGCGGCAGCGTTCCACGCGGAGAAGTCAGCGAACGCATCTACCCTAGAAGCTGGGGCGTCGGTTCCTATTGGGTCAGCGGCTCCTCTTGGGCCGGTGGCGCCTATTGGGCCAGTTTCTCCTGGGCCGGTGGCGCCTCTTGGGCCGGATGGGTCAGCTGCGTCCCCTGGCTTGATAGCTTCTCCTGGGCTTGGGCTTCTCGAGCTGGTGGGGGAGCAAATGGAAGGCACGGCGACCCAGCCCATGCAAGGAGGAGTTGAGCCGTTTTTTGCTCCTCTGCCACCGCCGCTTGTGGCAACACCGCCAGTGCGTCGTCGCGGGAGGCCACGCAAGAAAGTTCTGCTTCCCAGTCGTCATAGCAAGCGTCTCGAGGCACGGCCATCTCCGGTTCTAATCTCGATGCGAGCTCAGGTTCGCATTATGAAAGAGATGAGGGTCCTTAAGCCGGGAGAACCGGTAGGTGATGAGGCAGTGGCTGAGTACATCAAGCGCTTCCAGGACCCCTTGCCGACGGTCGTGGTGCAAGGGATTCGCGCGCTTACTGGGTTGGACAGCGGCAAGCCTCTGCCGCCGGATGTGACAGAGGAGGCTGATGGTGCCACGCCGGAATGGGTCTGAGCTCTGGCTTGTGATGAGTGTTGTCGTAGTGTCGTTGATGAATCATGTATCTCTGTTCTTTAACTTGTGTAGTGGTCCTTCAGACCCTTCGTCAGCGATTAGCGCTGTTACTATATGTTCGGTTGTTGTCATTTAGACTATTAGCGTTGCCAATGGCACCTAGCCTTAAGCTAGGTTTTAGTGCTCTGTTGATCTGTGTTACCTGGTGGTTGGCCAATCATAGGAGTAGTTGTTTTGGTCAGTTGGAAATGAACTACTTCTCCATTTGTGTACTATGTAAGTGGGCTGTTGGAGCAATGTATTGCCATTGGAGCATGTTGATCGCACTAGTGCACATCTCTAGGAGTTACTTATGGTTCAAGAATGATTGAAGGCCTCAAAATTCTGAATTGGAATGTCAGAGGGTTGAACAACCCGGCAAGGAGAGAGGCTATCTGTGAGGTTGCGAATAATGCAGATGCGAGCATACTTTGCATCCAGGAAACTAAATTAGCTAACATAGACCAGTTTTTAGGGCGGGAAATAGGTGGTTCCCGACTGAGGCGTTTTGAATTTCTCCCTGCTGATGGTGTAAGAGGTGGTGTAGCAATTTTCTGGGATGACACAAAGGTGCAGGTCGACAACACACAAATTCATACCTTTTCCGTTTCAATTAGGGCCCAAGTGATAGGAGGAAATGTCCCTTTTATTCTCACCTCCGTATGTGGGCCTTCGGAGGATGAACATAAATCAGACTTCCTTGCAGAACTAGAATCGTTAGTGCCGCAGCCATTGCTGCCCTGGGTTGTTTTGGGAGACTTTAACTTGATTTGTGAAGCAAGTGATAAAAATAATCTGAATTTAGATAGGAGAAGGATGGGGCAATTTAGGAGCACTCTAAATAGATGTTGTCTCAAGGAGTTCAAGCTCCAAAATAGGAAATTCACATGGAGCAATGAGCAGGAAGCGCCTACTCTGGAAAGAATTGACAAAGTTTTTTGTAATATTGATGGTGACATCCTGTTCTCCAACCACACACTGCAAGCCCTCTCCTCATCCTGTTCAGACCATTGCCCTTTGCTTCTTGCTTTCACTGTAAGCCCACCCAAAAGGGTAGTCTTCCGCTTTGAAAATTTCTGGGTCTGGGTGCCGGGATTCATGGAGGTAGTGCAACAAGCCTGGTCATCTCACACTTTTGGTGGACATCCATTTACAAAACTCAGCCACAAATTGACAGCCACCGCTAAAGCTCTCAGGAAGTGGAGTAGAAGTCTGTTTGGAGAGATCAAAATGCAATTTCACGTGGCTCAGGAGGTGATTCTCCGATTGGATTTGGCCCAGGAAGATAGGATCCTTACTGCTGATGAACACCAGCTCAGGAAAGACCTCAAGCTAAGAATTTTGGGGCTGGCAGCAGTGGCAAAGTCGAAGAAAAGGCAGAGATCGCGATTGACATGGCTAAAAGAAGGGGATGCCAACACAAAGTTTTTCCACATTCACGCAAACTCGAGGAGAAGGAAAAACCACATTCACCAACTCCATACA